GACTATAAATAAGGAAAAATCATAATTGCATTATAAAGTCAAAATGGAATAGTTTCTTTAGCGCAGCTTAATTGGGTACAACAGATGAATTGTTCAGATATATACATACACCCAATATATATGTCTAGTTGTCTGTATTAATATGCATTTGATAAAGAATGAAAGCTTTTACATAAAAGAGCTGCTTTGGACACAGACGTGTATAGAGTGAAGCAGAGATGAATTTTATATCCAAATATAGAAGCATTATTGTACTGCGATACAGCGAAAGAAATTTTTATCTCTCATTCAACGTAGCCTCTGATTAAAGAAAATATCAGTTCAGGAATGTATATTGATAGCTATTTAAATATATATGTATGTATGTATATTGATATATATATATATATTATCTGACTATTTTTATGGTGTCTCAAGTAAGAAAGAAATGAGAAATTACTTTCATAAATATCAGTAATTTTTTTTTAAAGATATTTAGACACATGACTGTATGTGAAGTCTATAGGCAGCTTAAAATTTATTGACATGGCAAGACTAGAATGAATGAATAGAGATGGAAGCCTGGTTAAATCCTAATATGGTAGCAACAACATTTAAAAGAACAGAATTAAAAGGACACGTATGCCTACAACAAGTAAGAATCAGAGAAATTCTTGGACACATGAGAGACTGGAGAATTCAACACAAACAGGATATATAGAATGCAAATAATCAGGCGGGGGAAACATCTTCATCAAAGTTGCTCAATTGCGAGCTACGTTTCATTTGTGCTTTTCCATCGCACACAGAGTAAATCTCAGGTTCATATAGCTGTTCAGTTATGTGCGCAATCTGGGCCATATAGGGTATTGAAATTAGAGATGGCTTCCTCCTATACAGGTTGACAATCACGGCTCGAGAGTCCAATCTCGCCTGCAATTTAATCCGTAGATAGTGCGAGAAAATACATAGCTTTCAAAATCTATGCTAAAGTTAATGTATACATCTCCACCGTAACGTGAATTCGGCTGCCTAGATTCTTGCTCGGACCGTCTAAATATTATTTTTCCTAGACATCCGGAGAAACAGCGAGTAACCTATTAAACGAGTTTGTGTGAATGGGTGCATAGTAGATCAAGTACATAGCGTGAGGGTAAAGTGTCAAAAGTTAATTGAAGTAACAAATTCAGGAAGTTGTGGAAAGCCAAGTTCGGTCACATCCTGTTGGGTCACAGCGCATTATATTTTTTTCATTTGCTTTCCTTGTGGTTGACGTAGCGAAAAGTGTCGCATTAAAGTGTTGGTAAAATCATTCCTAACTTCTAACTTGTCAAATTATTTGGATTAAAAAATTGCTTCGCATCGCAATAATCCGCAGTAGGTTTCAATCAAACGACGGAAAATTTACGCAAATATACTTAATTTATTAACGTCTTGAGACCATTATTTATATAAAATCATTATAATGCATTTTAATAATTACAAATAAAATGATTTGCTTCTCATTTACATTTAACCCCATCGGAGTATGTAGATTTTCTGACAGGATTTAGCTAATATTCAGGCCGATAAATCTAATTGGATAAAAAATACTGCATAATGAAAAAAAAAACCGAGCTTCTAATCGAATATGAGTATCCATAAAAAAAAAGTTTAAATAAAATAAACTGAAAATAACACACCGACACACATACATGTATGTATACATATATAGGCATATATACATACATGTATATGAAGACATGCCACGCGGATCAGAGACAACCACGGGCGAACGAGTTGTTATACAAGGGTAGGAAGTAATTTTGTTAGTGTAACCGGATCTCCCTTGACTCTGACATAGTTATGTGGACCTATAGTCATCGGAGTTGTTGATAGTCTGCCTATGAAAGGCATATCGAAAAATGACCTGCTGGAGAAAGAGTTGTACCCCATCCAAGAGTGAAAAAAAAACCGAGCGTCTCGGAGGAGACTGAGAAGATTGAGGAATAATCCTGGAACATTCCCATCATGTGTGGCGACCCGAGCGAATGCGAGGAAAAACCTGAGGAGACGAGTGCCAGAATGGAAAGCGAGAACGAAGGGAAAAAAAACTTGTTTAAATAGGAAAATAAACAGAAAATCAAGCCCCAACCCGCGAAAGGAAACAAGATACGTCATGCCCACCATAGAAGTGATGGCAACGAACAGAGAGGGGATACAAATGTCGAAGAAATGTTACCTAGGAATATAGTATACTACGTCGAGAACGAGATCTTAACGCAGAAGTGGAGGCACACACACACCTGCCCAGGAAGATTGGTATGTACGACAGTTGGTATACCAAGGAGATACAGAGAGGAAGTGTCTCGGGCGGCCCAGAACAAGATGAAGTAGAACGTACGATCGAAACATATAGTTTGATGTCGGAAACAAATTATGGTGCTGTTACCCTTGTCTGGTACCTCTGAAGGTTCACTTTCACCGTCCTAACGAAATCCTGGAAGGTTAGCGACCTCAAGTATATGAACACAGACCGAAGGAAGGAAACAGAAATGTGTCATATCAAACCATATTACGAGAGAGGGAAACCAAGCCCCATCCTAGCCGTAGATGGACCCTCTATGCCTCTGTGCAGACGCTTTATCATGCTGCTACATAATAAAGAATATAGCCTTGATATATATATATATATATATATAAAGTGGAACAGAGGAGATAAATCTTTTATACATAAATAAATGTATTGTGTTGAAAAGAATCGCAAGCGATCCTTTTTCATTTTTTGGTGAGGGGATGTTACGTTAACCCCATATTTGTACCCTCACCTCAGATTTTATATACATTTTCAGTACCTTTTTGTATTTGCGACGAAACATATGAATCTTTTAACTTCATTATTTCTTAAATATATAGATACATATTGTTTTTATAACTAGATGATCAGGGTAGTTCTCGAAAAAGAATACCCCCATTCCTATATGGTCCCTGACGCGTAGGCCAAACAAACGCTGTTTGACATGAATGATGTTAACCAGTTCCATAGTCACTGGCCAAGAATAACGCTGTTTGACAGATAACAGTGGATGATATTAACAGGGTCCGTGAATGACGCATACCTTTTTCGGGGACCAACACGTGACTCAAAATATAGCAGTTTTCGTTTCGGACGTGTTAAGGTAACAACAACGACACACAGTTGCTGGCTATCAGAGGAGTCGGATACAAAAACCCGTCTTATATTCGCCATTAGAAGAATTAGATGCCACTAAAAAACCAAAGGGACCGACGCGAGATTGTAGATCAACCTATAATCCCATCAAAGAAGTGTATAAACATTCTTTGAACAAATATAATTGTCATCGACGTCGATTCCAAATATAGTTTCTGCATATCTTAAAATCTGCTATTTCATTCATATGAATTTCGCCGCATTAGTATCTGTTTAATAATTGGTAACTTATCTCCCCATCCCTTATATATTTAGTTTTCTTTTCTTTTCTTACTCCGTGTATTCTAGAAATAAAAACTTTGTATTATTCTCGTGTTGTCTTCTGTTGTTCTGTGTCTGCGAATTGTTCATTTCTCTCTGCGTTTACCGACGTATACATTCCTCCCAACGTATTTATTTTTATATCGAACCTTATCTCTTCTTACTTATCGTTGCGTTCCGGCTATCCCAACGAAATATATATGCATATATATATAAACATATATACATACATTAAAATATAAAATATATACATACATGTATGTTCCTATATAGGCATATATTTATGTAAACATATATATATATATATATACATATATATACATACATGTATGTATACATACATATATACATACATGTATATACACATATACATACATGTATGTATACATATACATATATATACATACATGTATGTATATATATAGGCATATATACACATGTATGTATACATATATACATATATACATACATATATACATATATACATACATATATATACATATATACACATATATATAGGCATATATACATACATGTATATATACATACACATATATACATACATATTACATATATATATATATATATATGCATATATAAAACATAATTTTAAAATTAAAATCAATACTTTCCTTGTTTTTAAAACTATATATATATACATACATATATTCACATACATACATACATTCATACACACACACATACATTCATACACACACACATACATACATTCATACACACACATACATACATTCATACACACATATTCACATACATACATACATACACACATATTCACACACATACATACATACACATATATTCACACACATACATACACACATATTCACACACACACACACATACATACACATATATTCACACACACACATACATACACATATATTCACACACACATATATATATATTCACATACACACACACATATATATATACACACACACACACATATATATATTCACATACACACACATATATATATTCACATAAACACAAACATATATATTCACATAAACACACACACATATATTCACATAAACACACACATATATATATATATATATATATATATATATATATATATATGTGTGTGTGTGTGTGTGTGTGTGTGTGTGTGTGTGTATGTATTTCAACGGTACCAGATTACATGCAATTGTATTTTATGCATTCAAATGACAGCTGTAATATGCTTCCTGTGATTGCTTTCTGAGCAGCGAATCAATCCCAGGATACAATAGATACTTGAGGCAGGCCGTTGACTAGACGGTTGCAATGTTTTCAACGAAACCAACAAAGATGACCGAATTAAACCGAACCTAAGATATACAATTTAAAAAAAAAATGATATTCTTGGTATATGGTCGCTTTGAATTTTAATGTAACACTTATTGAATAAAAATGAACTTCAGAAAACAACTTCGCGATGATCAGCAACACCATGCAATCCGCTTCATAGCTACGTATATATATATATATATATATATATATATATATATATATATTACAGCGGTAGATACTAGCCACTTACCTTTGAATACGTGAGTCGTGCCGTCTCTGAGTCGAGTAATAGCGTCAATGCTAGCGTCATTACAGATAGGTGGTCTGCTTACACGTCCTTGTGTGGGGAGTGGGTTTGGTGGCGGGTCGAAACGTCGTGTATCAGTCCGACCACCTGTCATCAAACAAGAAGAGAAATACAAAGGTGGTTTCGTTCAAGTAAGATTTCCGAAATACAATTTGATGATACATGAATATATAGACAATAGTTACATTTTTATAATGCTAGGACAAACAGTTGAATGTTTTAGGCATACGTTCGTTTCATTTTAGAAATATTTCACGGGGACTTCCCCATTGTGGTTTTCAATCTTTTTGCTGGAGCGGAAATACAAGGAAACATTCCAATGGCTCAAGGAACCCCTGCAATAAATTAATTGTCTTATGCAAAATAAATAAATAAATAAATAAAAAGCTTTAAATTATGAAAATAAAATAAAAATACTCAGCTTCAGATTTATTTACAAAAAAAATACAAACTGTAAAAATATTGTATACGTACATACGCAATTTTAATCTTCCTTCTACAGTTGTTACACATGTATTAAGAAAACTTCAGTTTAAATGGATTACATTTATTTTACGTTTGGGACCTGTTTTTTTATTCATACTCTGCTGTTTTGTTATTGATTTAGTGGAGGTACCTAAACACACATATCTGCACAGGAGAATTAAAAATTAATGACAATCATAGTACTTGTGTAACTTCTTATGGATCCCCTGGACTTTACTGGTGGAACGCTAGGGTTCTGTGGAACGCTGTTTGAAAACCACTGCTATAGAATATCAACCTACACAAGGCAATGAAAAACTGAAATAAGAGCCGGTAAAACGACCAGTTCCTATGTAAAAAAAATGATGATAATATTTTGTTCCAATGAATTATTTTATAGAAAGAGATAGTTACGGTTCATGCAACAACAAAAAATAAAATAAAAATAAAAAATAAAAATGACTAATAACATACAATGGAAATACAACTGAAATTGACGTAGAAGAAAAGCTTTATTTTCACTATTTACATTCTGATTATTTTCATCGTCTTTATTATTATAACAGCGTATTTATCGTTGTACCACGGCCTTCATCAGGTGTATATCGATCTGCGTAACCTGCAGGAACGCTCATCAGAACTGAACCTTTTATTTATAAATGATATCCCCAGACATGGGGAAAAGAAACAAGAGTAACCTAGCCCCGTAGAATAAATAAAACTCTTAAAAAGTCGAACAACAGATGCTAATTATCATGTTTGGGGTCAAAATGTATCTACCTACGCCAGTTGCTACGTAGGCTATGTAGAAATTAGACGCCACAAGTCGACAGAGGTTGGGTGAACATAGAAATTCACATAGTCTCACCAGAAACATACAGGACAACACCGTTTTCCCGTTCGGATATATTAAAAGTTAGACTCTCCTCCTTTTCGATTTTTTCACTCTGGTTGTTTTATACATATGTTATCACTTCTCTGTGTTCGACAAGTTAGTGACAAACATGTATATACAGATAACAAAAGTGTCTTTCAGAACAATGTATGATTGGCAGTCTATCTTTCAGCTACTCTATTATTTCCGTATGTAAAGGTGTTACAATGTAACCCGGATATAAGAGAGTTGTCGGGACCGGAGAAGAAGTCTCTTATATCCGGGTTTCTCTTATATCCGGGTTTAATCTATTTTATATACATTAACACAGGCTCTAATTTGGGACCAGAGAAAATCGCTCTTATATCCGGGTTTCTCTTATGTCTGGGTCTCTTATATCCGGGTTACACTGTACTACATCACGGATATAATAATGCCGATAACGTAGATATGTGAAACTAGGAATATTCTGTCTTGTTTAAGTAAAAAAAAAAAAAGCAAGGGTATCAATTCAAATATATGTATCCACTAAAAATATAGTCTATAGAAAAATGCGTCTGTCTGTGTGTCCCGTACGTGTATACTGGCGATAAAATAGACTGTTTGCACGGCTAGAAAGTGCAGGTGCCTGACTTTGCAATGACCTCGGCCTAAATCAAGGTCTAATATGAATAACCTGCGTGACATGGGAAAGCAAAAGTCAAATGTGTGTGTGTGTTTCGATATAAATTCATATACCGTGTTTAACCGCAAAATTGTACAAATTGTATAACAGTATAATTATCCATTCAATAAAATGTTTAATATCTTATAAACGACCAAACTAATAAAGTTTCTTTTTCCCAGGTTTTTAGTTAAGGCATTTAGCATCTTGACACCATTTTTCGGAGGAATCACTTTAAAATCCTTTGAGTTATTTAACTAAAAAGAGAGCAGGTTAATATTATTTGTGTCAGACCCAATATATTCCCAAATGTGAAATAATGGGAGGAAAATTCCATTCGGGCCTTCCGTAAAGTTACCAACATTCATACTCCGACTTCCAAGTTCATTCAAGTACCATCACACAAATTAAAAAAAAAAAACAAAAAAAAAAAACAAAACAAATTAAAACAGGGAATAGTAGAGAGGAAAACTGGATCAGGAGGTCACAACAGAAATAGGGAGCATCATTTCAAATTAAAAATGAAGAGATCAATTAGAAAAGATCCAACTCATTCGTTATGATGTTTGGCACGTGAGAGAGGAGTTTCAGCTATGACAGTTCAACGATCAGTGGAAAAAGACTTGAAAATCAAATCGTACATCTAACATCTGAGTCAACTTGTTACTCCAGGACAGAAAGGTACAAAGTTAGAGAGGCTGCAGATCATTTTGAATAAGTTGGAAAATGATGCTGGAATAATATATGCATATTTGAACTTCATTTCAATCCTTCCTGAGCTTCCGATATTTAGCTATGATAGACTAAAAAGGAACATGTCATGTTCGTTTATGATTGTATTCATCACAATCTTTCTGTCAAGTTTGGAGAGCAATTAATCATTTGCATTGCTCAAAGTAGACTCCAATAGGGTTATAAAAACCTCGGTGAATTCCAATAAGACTTCTTTAATCATTCTTTACATACAGCGGTTCAAATTTAATCTAACAATTGAACAATTTTGCTGTTACAGCCGGTATGTATGTGCGAAAATTATATACCGGCGCGTGTATATCTATATAAAGACATAAATGAATGCATTTCGAATTTCTCATCGATACTTTCTGGGGAATAGTGATTTTAATTTCTTGGTTGAAAGTCATTGTGGCAGAATACTCAGACTACACTGATGACTGTCTTTCGCTAAAAAGAAAAAAAAAAGCGCCAAGTTCAAAATAATCTGTTCGTTTAATTTAATTCTATTCTTTTTCAAAGTTTGTTAACTCTAAGTCTTTTAAATGCGTAAATTAGAAAAAAGAAACGTTCTCCATGTTTTTGCTTTATCTTCCTCAAAAGGTTGTATTTTTAATTTCTACATTGTCGACGTTTATTGTTCTGATCTTATTTGTTTTCTTTCTTTGTGGCTCCCCTAAGCTGTACGCTTGTCTATTTTATTTGATTCGTAATTTTCTTATCAATTTTCTTGCTTATTTTTTTACCTTTTAAATCGGAGAGTTCCTTATTTTATTTCCCATTCAATCGAAATGTCTTTTATCCATTCTTTTCTTCATTCTTTATCGGAACCAAAACATCTATTCTTAATTTACTCATTGCTTTTTTCTTTAAATTTATTCATTTTCCGTTTGTCGATGTTCATTCAATCTATGCGTATATGATTTTCTCTCGGACGCTGCAAATCTAAATCTGCCTCATATCTGACTTTCTTTCTTTCTTTCTTTATATCTTATTATCCGGATAAGCGAAAATCCTTTTCAATATATACCATTAGCAAAATTGAAATTATCTGATGTGTACAGTTCATTTTTCACGAACAATGTTCTGTGTGTAAATTTTTGTTAACTTTTCAGCAAATCAGGTCCATTTCACCAAAACACTTTCATCACATTGCACATGACATTTCTTTTTTTTCACGCATAGAATCATCCGGCTTTATTTTATTCAATCACAATTTTGTAATTTCAATACAGAAATATATTTTCAAAGAAAAGGAAACTGATCTAGTGTCAACAGAACTTTTTATGTTGTATCAATTCACCTCAAGTAAAGCGATAATACGGCCAGGACGAAAACGGCGACTGGGAGAGAAAGGGAATGAGAAGACTTTAGTGAGAAGAAAAGAACAGGTTATAAGAATACAGAATATGGCGACAGACGGTGCATTTGAATTGTTGAAGATTGTTGGTGGCAGGAAAACAAGAAACCGGAAGGTATTTCAACAAGTGATAAGTGCGAGAAAGAACATGTTAAAATAGAACATACGGTTGCATCTATCAGCAAAACATTGAGACTTTATTGCCAAGCTAGAAGCAGTCGTAGCACAAAGGAGGAACGCTTATCAGGACAATTGGCAACGATATATTTGTAGTAAGAGAAAATGAAACGACGTTACTGCGGCGATTACTTTATATATATATATATATATATATATATATATATATATATATATATATATATATATATATTAAGAGTTCAAATGTTTGAGGGAACCCTGGTAATTTTTTTAGATTTAAGGTAATTGTTTTGTACTTCAACCCGGATGTAAGAGAGTTGTCGGGACCGGAGAAGAAGTCTCTTATATCCGGGTTTGACCTATTTTATATACATTAACACAGGCTCTAATTTGGGGCCAGAGAAAAATCTCTATTATATCCGGGTCTCTCATATCCGGGTTACACTGTAATAGAAAATTATTGTATATTATTAAAAAAAGATCTATATGATACTTTATTAGAAGTTGTATTATGACAAACACATTTTCTGATTAAATTTTGCTCACGTCAAAATATTCTCTTTTAACATTGATTACTGCAGCACAAAGTTTTGGCATTCATTGCAAAAGGTATTCAAAGTATAATTTTGATAATTGATGCCAATCTTTTTTCCATGATTATAGGAGTTCCTCATTTTTTTTTACCCTTCTGTCAAGTTCGTCCCATCCCAATTCTGTGGCTTCAAACTTTTATAATTATATATATATATATATATATATATATATATATATATATATATATATATATAATAAAAAGGCTTAAACACTAATATTCCATGGTCATAATTTATTACATTGGAATCGTAAATACGACCCAATTCATTAGACCGACAAATTGAATTGGATCGTATTTACGATTCCAATGGAATAAATTATGACCATGGAATATTAGTGTTTAAGCCTTTTTATTGTATCCTTACTCTGTCCTGGACATTGAGTTCTACCTGGATTCTATCCTCTTGGAATATTTTTAAACAAAATATATATGTATGTGTATGCATGTATGTATATATATTTATATATTTTGCATATGTATGTGTATATTTACCACTAATATATATATATATATATATATATATATATATATATATATATATATATATATATATATATATATATATGTTTTTGACAACACTGTTGTACGGCTCAGAATCATGAACCCCATATATGTTCAGTCAGCTTGATATCTTACACAGTTGTCTCCGCACGATTTGTGGCTATAACTTTCACCATAGGTTGTCCAATACTGATCTCGCAAAATGCTACATTGGTGGAATTAAGACGTTCCTGATGCAGTCACAAATCCACTGGTTAGGTCATGTCACAAAGATGAGTGATGATAGAATACCTAAGATCCTCGTGGCTCAGGTATAAATAAAGGTTATGCAATTATAATATTGTAGTGCTACTTTTTCGACATACTGTTAAATGTCACTTAGTGTTTGAATTTTTTTTTTCTCCACAAATAATGATTTTACGGTTTTTCCTCGATCATTCCACACACGGCGATTTTAGCTGATGTGTATATTATATGTATTTACAAGCTATCCTTATTGGATTAGACTCCGCCGGTATATATGTAATCAGCCGAGTAAGACGCCCCCCCATAGAGGAGAACATGACGAAAAACTGTGTGTACGCTATCCCGTGCAGATGCGGAAAGAAATATAAAGGGGAGACAGGCCGCCCCCTTAAGGTAAGGCTTCAAGAATACCAGAAAGCTGTAACACGAGGGGAAGTGAGAAAATGTGGCGTGGTTGATCACATATGCAAAGAAAAGGTAGATCACCGACATCTATGGGATAAGGTTGAGATCATAGACAAAGAAACCGATTGGAAAATTCGTAAACTTAAGGAATCAGCACAAAAATCTTCTGAGCCGACCAATCATAGAAATGCATACAATATTTGAACCAGTAATAAGGAGTGCCAGAGAAAAGGGATAACAACAACAAAAATTGCAATATGAGCTCTGGTAAAAATATTAAATGATAACATCAAAAAATTGCAATATGAGCACAAGTAAAAACGGTTACTGAGACATTAGGTTCAAAATAACACAGACATTCATGCACATATGGCCTCAAGGACACATAGACGTTGGTTAGATCCAGTGACAGGACACAAAGAATGTGAGTTCAATACCCGGTTAAGGCAGGGAAGAACTTGGAGAGGTGAATTAACAGGAGATAACTGACAACTGATATCCATTAAACATGTCACGTGGAACTAGAACAGTCTACCCCATTGAGCGAAATAAAGGGTTCAGTTCGACATTCCAACCACCTGAAGGCCGTTGTAATAATATGGCGACAAAGATGAGGACGATAGTCCGAATAATGTAAATGGCCAACTTGCCTGTTTATAATTTCTTTCCTTAATAACACAAAATGAAAATAATTTTTAGAAAGATTTATCTTACCATAAAGTTCCTGAACTGCGGCTACGTCATCTCTGCTTAACTTGAAGTTCGGTATGTAGCCCCGGTAGAAAGGGGCCATCAGGGCGTTCCTTACGTCTGAGTGAGCTAGACCCAGCGAGTGGCCAATCTCATGAGCGGCCACTTGGAATAAGTTCACCCCTGTTAAATAAAAAAAAAATAAATTAAAAGAAGAAATAAGAAAAATGTTCTATTTTATTTTCCAACGTCTCTCTCCATTATTCATAAGTTTCGAAAGAAAGATCGGTCATATTTGAAAGAATCAAACAGTTTTTAGTTTTAATGGTTTTCTTTAAGGAAAATATTATTTCCTCTCATATTTGATAACACAATCCTATCTAGTTGGCAAACTGTTGATTCTCTAGGCGTAATATTTTTTTTCTGGTTTCAATGCCAAAAAAAAATTAATATCACTTTTAACCTTTACACAATTAATTATTTCCCCGCTAAAAATATCGCAGTGATTGAAGATATGGCTATCTGATTGAACTTCCATGTATAGTGCCATAATATCTTCCTTGCGATCTTGCATTATCGTGTAAAATCAACAAGCCCTTAAGACTAACACGTTCTTCTCCAGCGTAGTCTTGGTTTGGGGATGGATGCTTATTTTTTCGGTGGGTGTGAAACATTTTCGATTTTGATTTCATCAATGGAGACTATTCAACCCAGGAAGTATCCGGCTGTAACGTCTACAAGCAAAAGACATTTCTTTACGGGTCAGGGGCTAGGGTATCGGAGCCCATCCCACCAAAATTTTGATACAGCCACCCCCTCTCTACTACATGCCGATTGCAAAATTTTCAAATCGGGGTAGAAACCTAGAAGAAAATTTGGTGGGGGTGTGGGGGAGGGCAGTGCTTTTTGTAGATTAACAAAAATCACGGAATTATTCAATTTAAATGAATATTTCAGTACATATTCATTAATTATTTGCTTTTATAGTGAATATTTTTTTTATTTAATAAATCTGAGAAAATGTTATTCATTTTTGTAATAACCATTAATATTTTCATGTCTTAATTTTACACTAAACAGAATTTTTAAGTCGTATAATTTTTCATTTCCATAAAAATTAATCGCCGACGCATCTACGCTGAAAAAAAGTTTTACAAAGATTCCAACCCATGATGAAACACCCCCGACAAACTGAATTTTCTTAGAAAAAAAACAAAAAACATTGCTAATGCATTACAGGACTTGATGTATTTAATGATTTGCCGATCGTCTGACGGAAAAACAGATGTGGTAGGTTTAGTGGTAGTCTAGGGAAAGAACTTTTACGTAAACATTTGACGAATGAGACAATCCCTAATTTAAATTTACATTGATACATGGTTAAGCGTCTCTGACTAACGTCTCTCTCACCTGGCTCTTTCGTGCATTTGCACCAAAAACTCAAAAAATGTTTCCTCTAATAGGAATGATAGCTAAAAAAATATATAAATTAATTTAAAAGAACTGTTCAGAAAGAAAATTACAATTTTAAAACATAATCGCTACTGAATTTATCACTTCTGCCTCTACCTCCGCAGTAGGCAAGGGGCCTCATGCGCTTGAGAGATTCGGGGTAGTAAGCACCGGCCATGTCAATTAATATAGCTGATGATTGACAATATAACTTAGGTAGAAAAAATAAAATTGCAAAAAGCAAAAAGCAAAAAAAAATACGCTGAAACTAGCCCTTTTGAGGCCCCAACTCGTCGGGGGTTCTTGCGTAGTACGAACCGCACTGATGTATATTATTAGCTGATGATTGGCAATGTGATGTAAAGGCAGAGGCTATAAGGGGGCCCCCAACAACGCCTCCCTGTCAGTTGGTTTCGTGGGTAAGACGCTGTGTGTTTGGTTAACCTGAGAAGTAATCAGATGATAGACTAAGTTTATAGCCAATTTTTCGAACTCATGTATGTTTTATGATGCATGTGTAATTTGTATCGAACTGTTTTGCAACCCACATGCTTAGGATTTTCTTCCACTACGGTGTGTACGAGTTCAATATTGACAGATATTTGTCGTCCAGTCTGAGGGAAAATTCCCAGATGAAAATGCCACCGATTGAAACTCTTAAATTTTTATTTGCATAGGTTGAACAAATATTCTTGCAGATTTCCCCACAGAAGGACTCTTTTTGAATATACAGCATACCGAGTCATATATGGATCGGATATAAACATATTTCCAAAGGTGAAAAGCGAGGCGAAATTTTATCTAGACTGTTACTATGTAATCTGCAGTGAAAATTACATTAAAACGTCAAAAATAAGCGGTTATTTTACAGTTCATTGTTACATTGAAAAAGCAACCTCAAATGCAGGAGGCACGGTGGAGTAATGGATAGCGGTTCGTATTCGGGAGTTAGAAAGTCGAATTCCAGTCGAATCCATTACATTCACTTGCGTTCAAATACCCTTGGAAAAGGCATGAATCTTATTCTTCTCCACCTAGCTATGGATAAATAGCAGGACAGACCTTGGATGGCAAGTGGTCTACCGTAGAAAGCAATGTCAACCTACTGCGATTAAAATATGCCTTGAAAGATATATGGTCGTCTAAGAGTGTAGCACGCGTGGCATGTAACTGACTGAACCTCAAAATAATCACGTCTTAAATGAGATGTGTTTTTTTTTATTCAGTCTAATAGTAGCCATCAGTTTAACCCGAAAAAAACATTTTAAATAGTTATTGCTTTTACCTCCTAATTTAATATAATTTTACTGCAAAATATGAAAATATTACTTTCTTTTATAAATTCGCGTAAGGATAAATTTGGTCTGTGCTTCTTAAACATATATCAATAGAAAAAAATATTAACCAGGCCCGTAACGCTTACATAAGCGATTTAGTCTCAATATTTTATATAGATATTAATAACAAATAACGTTTACAACATAAGCGGTAACATTTAATTCGCATTTCAATTTTTAAATGTAGATTTTGTAAATATTTCCAGTGTTATTTATTTTTCGTTGAGATTTTAAAAATGTTTATACATAAGCAATTTTTCTGTCTATATTTTTTCATTATTTTCCCTGTAACTGCCTTGTTAAAATTTTAGCGTAAGTTATTAAATCTAAACCTTTCGTAATATGCATTGATGTCGTCTAATACTCTCACTACTACAAATTCATCACACAGAACTAAAAAATGGAATTATCTAAATAAGCCGTAATAATCTGTTTAAATATATTTTCTTAAAAATTTACGAATTATTTAAACAAGTTAAAAAAT